CACAGTTTAAAATAGCTTTAATGTTATATATTTTTTTTATATCCTCTGTCGCCTCAAATGTAAGCATGAACATATTAAGTGGAATCTTTGAATGTGATTTCCATTTGTTGACCGCGTTCACGATTTTAAAACCTTGCTGTTTCAGATCGAATACGATATCGACTGGGTCACATGAATGAGGAAGATTTTTTGCAATAACCTTTAATGGTCGGAGATGCTTGTTTTCATACGAATACCAGGCAGCTTTTTTTGAAGACAGCACTTTTGTAATAGCTCTGTAGTCGCCTATTTCAAATGTACTGATTTTATAAGTACCGCTATTGAGGAGCTTAATTAATCTTTCTTGCAGTTACTTTTTACAACAGCTTGCAGTTCTGAGTATTTATAATCTTCAGAGACCATAATTGGTGGTGGACGAGCTATTTTCAGCATTATTAAATAAAAAAAAAATTGTATTCACATTTACCTTAGCATAAGGATCAAAAAAGTGACGAGCTATTTGTTGTAAATCCAGTCCACCCATTGATTGACGTAAGATTAAATTCAATACTTGGAACAGTTGAGCCTCATTTGCATCGACAATACCAACATGTTTAATTTTAATAAGCACTGTCTTTCCATCACGATACTCAGACGTTAGATGGAATTCATGATAATGACCCTTTTTAGTGCCTCTTAAATCATTAGTAGTAAAAAGCATTGTCCCATCAAATATATATCCACCAAGTTTTGCTTTATGTTGGAGAATTAATGTACGACGAACAAAGCTCATATCTATTTCCGGTACAAAATCTACTCTATATTGATAAATGTTCCATTCGGGTTTCTTTAAGATCTTGAAATAGTTCGTATCAACAGTAACATGGCGTCCAGTTTCACCCATTTTGGAAACACAAGTTTGTGGCCGTGTAAACAAGGAATCCAACAACGGTGTATGCGGGCCACCACGATTACGTCCACCTAATTAGAAACAAAAAACAAACAAAATTATGTATTAAACAAAAAAATTATGTTATATATAGTATTTTGTATTTTATTTATATTCTTATAAAATATTATAAATACCACGTCCTCCATGCCCTTTGCCTAGAATTATTTTGAAAGAAAAAATTTAAGAAATAATTGGTAAAGTGTTTAACTTAAAAACATATTTATTTCAAAATTACCTCTCGGCTTAGCAGCAACAACACCAACTATAGTAAATAATAAAAAAAATATTTTATTAATTTTCTAAAAACTAAATACAAAAAAGTTAAAAAAAAACATTACGATTAGCTATGGAGTTTTCAATTTGAGTACAACTAGATGATGAAGTTGAAGTTGACGAAAATGACGACAAATTTGAAGGCGAGTGCGGAATAGATGGAGATATTAAAATACGACGAATCAAATTTGGTACTTATATAGAAAAATAAAAATTAGAATATATTTAATACTTATTTTTACTTGGTTGAAATAAATGTACTAAAAATAAATAACATATATCGTGTCTTAATACCAGAATCATTAGAATCAGGCTTTGCAGCCTGTGGTGATGCTAATATTGCCCTTGGACGAACAGAAATTGAACCGCCGCGTGGCTTAAAGGTATCAGCAATTACCGATGGTCTATTAACAACGTTAACAGAAGGTGGAATCCTTGGTCGAAAAGACATCTATAATAAAATTTGATAATTATTGTGGTTTATATTTATTAGGTTTTATTTATTAAATATATTTTTATAATAAAATATTTTTATTATATATATTTTTTGATTTCATTTTTTGGAAACTGTTCAAAAGTAATAATGAAATACTAACCCTGGGACCCGTAAATGTCATGACAGGACGAATACCAACTTTTCCCATAAGTTGAGGTGAAGGAACACGAACACGTGGTCTTACGCTTGGTTGAAGAGACATTATACAGTATATACCTATATTAAAAAGAAGAAAATATTTATTTTTTAAATAAATGATATTTACAAATTTACGTTTTACTTCTTTTAAAACTATTATCAACAAAATAATTGAATGAGAGAAAATGTGATGTGATGAGGATGGATTAGATTTAGGATATTTAGAAAGGATTCAATCTACAATAATATTACATATATGTATATTTATTTTAATATAATGAATATATATGTTTTATACTAAAATGTTTTAATTTTATACTTAATTTTTTGGTTAATTGTTTAATATTATAGTAAATTTTTCAATTATAACATATTATAAAATAAAAAAATAAATTTTAATTATTTCATATGTTTGCTATTATATTGAAAAATCAACACAAAAATAATATACGAGTATAATTGTACATATAAGGATGGCAAAAATTTAAATTTGAATTAAAAATGGATTATTCAAAACTCTCCAATTTTGGTACGGTAACACAATGGGTCAATAGGAATAGGTGGATTTCTATAAGCACCGTCGTCGTCATAACCTTAACTTCAGCACATTATAATTTTTTCCAATCTTAATTATCTTAAATTTGATATTCCAATACTATTATTAATAGTTATAACAAACTTGATTAAAATATTTGCTAATTTTATGCTAATAAACAATTAACCAATAAAAAGATATTTATTAAAATATATTTTTCAGTCACAATTAATGCAAAATGCAATATGAATTTTTATTAACAAAATATAAAGACTTATTAATAAAATCCTCAGGGTATACTGGGTGAAGTAGAAAAAATTCAAAATTCAAAATCGAATTGTCAAATCCAAGTTAAGATCAGTGGCACTAATTAGAAATAACTTGAAAGCCTAGGATTTTGAATTTACTAATATTTATGTTTAACTGTAAAAAATATACTATTGGTTTTTATGGAAACAAATTTTGTAAATCTATTGAGATTTATATCTGCAATAAAATCTAAGAAAAAGTTGGATAGCACAATTTTATACGATAATAATAAAGTCAGAACCAAAAACAAAACAATTATGAACAGAATTTTAGATACTTTTTATTTTTTCTAGAAAAAGTGGGTAAGTTTGTAAAAATTATCACAAGAATTGTATCAATATACAAATAATTTAATGTAATTTATATATAAAAATTATATATATAAGTAATGAATATACAAGAAATTTATATATAAATATTATATAAAGAGAAATATAAAAATACACTTTAAAAGAAAATAATTGTAATTTATGGTACATAAATTTATATAAGAATATGTATATATACATTGCGTATATTGTATATTAAAAATAGTATTTTAAATAAACGTTGAACTATAATATAATCAAGCCACAATTTATTATTAGAGAATTTGTGAAAAAAGAAATACAGCGCGTATAGCTATTAAGAATAAAAATATAATCAAAATGCAAAAAAAAAAAACATTATTTTAAATGTTATATAATATGTTGGTAAGTTTTTGTGTTGTAATAATTTTTAAAAAAA